CGCCCTATGTAAATTGCTTCTGCCAAATAACGTACTTGTCTTGGTCAAAATTGGATTTTCATTTTCAATGATTTTTCTCTGGAATAGTTTACCCCTTCACTGCCATCGTTTTTTATGTTGAAAGATCAAGAACGCATTCCGAAAAAAATTAGTCATCACAGCTGTTTATTGACTCAGCATGTGAATTACATATGTACCAACTGCTGATCACGCTATCTCATTTGTACCATATTGTTATGCTCACACCTCAACTAGTTTACTCACCCTCCCAATCATGTTAGTATTGTTCCACTCGATGTTTACCTCTTTTTAGCCGGTTTTCTTACTTGATTGGTTTATTTGCCGTGTGCCATGGGAAAATCGGTCATTATACCCAGCAATCCTGATTCGCTGGCAATTACATTTACAGTAAGATAGCCTCTTTGGAGGACAAGATTTTTCGTAAGAAAAACCGACACTATTCCACTATCACTACTCCAAAATCTGAGAAAAAATTCTCTGAAATTTTGCTCACAGATGTTATTCAATGCGCTGATCACGAAGATGACATTCATTTTCGGCGCTGCCGCCATTTGGCGCCAATAGGCACCAATTTAGCGCGTCCACCTTTTTCACTAAAATGGATAAAGGTGAAAAATACTTGCATAATAGGGTTGCTTGAGATCCTGATCTCGAGAAGGACACTCATTTTTCAACATCAGCACAATTTAGCACTCTGCTAAGGTTGAGCCTGGAAGCAGGAGTGGTTCCCTTCCTGCCAGGCTCAGCCTTAGCAAAGCACAGACGGTCGGAATACCCTACATTGGCTCCGCCGCCAAGAGAATGTCATATTCGAAACCAGGATGTCAAGCAACCCCGTATGCAAGTATTCATCGATTTTGGTAAAATAGGTGGTGTGCCATCTTGGCGCCTATTGGCAGAAACTAAATAACTTCAGTGAGCAAAGTTCCAGAGAAGAAATTTTCCCGAGCTTTTGGGGTAGTAATAGTGGAATTAAGTCGGGAAATCAAATATTCTTAGTGCTTAACAACTAACACCCGCCACATCCCTACTTGTAAACAATAAGTAACAGTTTCAAACGTAAGCAAATGTCGCATTAGATGAAAACAGAGCGAACGGTCACGCAGCAGACATTTTTCTGCGTGTCGTTAGCGCTTCTGCTCGTATGGAGGTTGGCATCCCGCGATCATCCTTTTAAGTTCAGTAGTGCTGCTATCTTCCACAGTTCTAAGTCAGTGTGCTCGATATCGTTTAGTTGCTCGTTCGATGTAGTTTACCCAGCATTTATAGTCGATTCCTCTGCCGACGCAAGGGCTTGTCGAGGGGACTGAGCGCAGCGCCAGCCCGTTTTCCACCAATTGTCATCACTTGTCCGCTTCGCAATGGTGGGAAACGGTCTGGCGCCCAAACCCGCACGCCTTCAGGCTGTAAGATAAACAACTGCTACAGTGTAACTCTCGCAATTCATCGTGGTTCCAGTTCCGACATCAGAAAACTCTATAGAATTCGATAATTTACGAGGCTTCTACAAGAAGAAATGATATTGAGACTACTGGAGCAGCACTACATACTCTTGCTTCGCTCTAGGTAAGAATCTGTTGCCAAACCTGCACTACTAAGGGAGTTCAGGCGCGCGATGCGAGCATTAGCTGTAACGGTTGTTTTAGCTGACGTCCCTGCTGATACTGAGGATCTAGAGCAGCATCAGAGACTGAGGTGAGCAATGCCAGGAAATGACGTCACTGGCACGGAGCTCCTCTTCTCTCCTGGCAAAGGAACGGCACAGGCGCCAGATGAACCTTTTCGTAGCCCCTCCCCACCCTGCAGTATCAGACGTCTTTTTGAGTCCAACATGAAAATATGATCTTTCTTTGCTTAAAACGGTCTCGGCTTCACATATTGAACCACCATCACGCAAATCTCATAAGTAACACTTCATTACCCGAATTACCCGGCGCGACAGTCGCGCAATATCTTCAGTTGAAATTCACATCCCATTCTATTCTTCTCCCGGGAGCTGAAGAAATCACCATCGATTTCCGCCTGTTCTAGTTCACAGCAATAAGGTTTTTACCATAGCAACGAAACGCCTCCTGCATGGAGTAATGTCTATTTCGCGAAACCAATTTGAACTGACAGCCAACAACGCCCCTGCGTCTTGCAAGTGAATTTTCGCTTCCGGAACGACGTTTCACCCCTTTAGAATAATTTTGTCTCTCCTTTCCACGCCTGTGTTGCAGCCTGGCTCTACCTTTGCATTACTAAAGCGATAGTTTACTCTGGACGCAGTGAATTATAAATAATTCCTCGGAGTATGCGTGTGGTTTGCTCAAATAAAATTTGCCTTGAGTGTTGCTCTTAGTCACGAGTAGGCGGAAATCTTAGACAGCCAGTTAATTTCTGTGAGAATCTGCGAATTTGTCATGGTTCTGGTCCAGAATATTGCAACCAAGCAGCAAAATGCGAATAAGTGTCCACAGCATGAATGGGACTGGAAAGAGAAATCCATTAAATTGATAAGCGCCTTGAAAATTCTTCAGAATAAATCTGGACTAGCGCTTCACTCAGCGATGAATGAGCACGTTTCCTGATTGCCTTTAGGACGCAGGAAAACCGTGACCTGAGCGTCACAGTTCCTTCGCCAAAAACTGGCCACATCAATCAAGGTTCTCACCGCCTAAGTTAGATGAAATGATACTAGACTTATCAAGTAGGGTTAAACCATAAGCTAACTAAAAGCTAAGCTAAAGAAGCCGTTTGCAGACTGAACACTCAAAACGCTCCACTGTTGGACGTCAAGCTTGGGCGGTGTCATCAGGACACGTCCGGTCATTGGAGATAACTCTGAAAAAGACTACCCTCCTCCTGGTGCGACTTTAGTTCCCCATCCTACCTACCATCTTCCTACCATCTTCCTGAATTGTGCCAACTTCTTTCCACTTTTCCGGAACTTTCCCCGGAATTTTCACAGCTTCTCAAAAAAAACTGCTCACGCGCTAAAAATCAACAACCCTTGTTCTTAAAGGCAAACACGACCCTCTTCCATCCTCGCTGGGGGCCCTCAACGAACGACGAGCCCTGACTGACGCACAATTTACGGTTGTATTAGGTTTGTGGGAAAGTTGTTGAAACATGGAGTCTCCAGCACTAAACTCAAATTGAAGTTCTACAAAAAATGAATTTATGCGACGTGGGAACTATCTAGAACAAACTTTGCCCTGGGTGATACAATTTTTCATTTACCTATTCATATAATCGGTGTTCTAGAGTTGATGAAATGTTTTCGGCCTGTTTGTAATGCTTGAACTGAATGTGCTTTAAAAATTGGCCGAGAACGTGTATTTCCGTAAGAGGAAGATTTGCTGCATGATGCGGGTTATTAAGAATTCCATAGCCCAAAACGTTTTTATATCTTTTGTAGGAAAAAGGAAATTACTAAAAAAAAGAAAAATTACCTCACACATCAGAAGAGATATGTATTTAAAATTTTTCACTCCAACAGCCTTCTCATCAGGATAGTCTACGGAAGCAGGATCCATTTAACTATTTATTCCTGCGCCTACCACTCCACTGCCCCACATATTGGCATAGTCCTCTACCCCAATCGGGGCAACTCCTGGTGCTGGAAAATTCTTCGAAACCTTGAAAAGGGAACGTTCAATCCCTTGGGAATCTGTCGAGCAAGCCGGGGAGGGGAGAAGAACACAGTTCTCCAAGCAACAATGAGAAATAGTTAAATTTCGGCGTCGCTAAACAGGATAGGGGGTATAGCGCGTCGGACAAGGGAAAATCAAAAATAGTCAGAAAATTTTTTGGCACGTCAGAAATGCGCCCTCCTCCCATCTGATGGGTGTTGCGCAAAGATGATGTGTGTGCACAGACGCGGGTCTATTATATGTTAGGGACCAGAGATGAAACCTATTTTTATCCACAACCTAACAAATAGTGCGGCTTTTCTTGCGAAAGCAAATGAAATTCCCTTTATATCCACTGCAAATGCGTCGTCAACAGCGAACACAGATGGCATGCATTAGGGGAGGGTCACATGAGAACGCTCACGCCCCAAATGCCATAGCAACTCGAGAGCAGACAGGGTTCTTCCTGTGCATGAGGGAGCGCTTAGGCTTTGCAAAAGCGGAACGCCTGCAGACGGCATTGACTCCTCCGGCACAAAATCGTCCATGCAGCTATGGCAGTGTGCCAGACAGCGGCTAGACTATTGCAGGATGGAAGAATGACGAGATGAAGATAAAAGGATAAAGTTTCAATCAATCCCTTTGTGGGATGCGGCACGCATTCTACTTCCATTCAGAATCGTAGTGGCTTATTGAATGCGATGTGGCCTATACAATGACTTGCGGGGCCAGCCGATGTACAAGTCAGTGTTTTATCCTCCCAGACGAATCTGGTACCAATTTACCGTCCCCGGAGGGTAGAAGGCTTGGTTGGCCTGGGCGGGTGTCGACCTGGGATTCGAACCCAGGACCGCGCGAGTGGTAAGCGCGCCACTTGTCACTACACCACCTCCGCCTACGAGATGAAGATCATCACCTCACACTCACACACACGCAAACCTGTGACCTCACCTCACGACCAGGTGGCTCTCTCCACTTGCACTGAGGTCCGCAGCTGCAGTAGCGTGCCATTTCTTTCGCTTGAAAGAACATGGGAAAGGAGCTGGAACGTAGTGATATCCGGGTGCCATCTCTGTACTCCGCCCACGCTACCGCCACACCAGCCACCAAGCCGATAACATAGCTAGTCGCGCTGCTTGCCTGCGCCCTCTTACTTATGGTTGTTCTCTAACTATGACTGCGTGTCCACTGTGGGATCTGGTATTGACGAAAGTGCTGAGCCCTGCGCGAGGATATGCCAGCAGCGGTGCAGGTCCGGAACAGCGACCGCATTACCACATATAATTCAGCCTTCATCTTCCGCGCTTCTGACGGACTTAACATAAGTGTATACAAATTGCCTCAGTGCAGCCCTTCTTCTCCCACATGGCAAGGAACCATGCTAGGACGGTGAGTGTTCCAGTTTCTCCAGGAGCGGAAAAAGCGAACATCTACACGGCGCCACTTATGAACTGATTTTTTTATTTGTATAGAGGCATGAAGCTGAATACCGAAAACCGTTTCCAAGGTGCATGCAGAAGACCGAAAATTCCCAAGAAATAGGGTAGGTGAACTTCGTAATCATCATAAAACCCAGCCTCAGTTTCTGAGTAAATCCGTGGTATCTCGCAAAAGCAACCAGTTTTTATCTCGTATGTGAATCTGCATAGGGCTCTTAAATGTCGCCCTTTACTGAAATGCAAAGCGCGTGCGAATAACCACATTAGCGCATAAAATCGCTCAATATGGAAATGATGCCAGAATCTCTTAAAGATAAACCCCAAGATTCACATTGTGGGTAGTGGCGTTCAATAACGAACCTAAGTGTTCCTCCGGGGAACAAAAAAGATAAAAAAAATGTGAAGAACACCTTTTGTTAGGACGCCCTGGCAACCTCGCTTCACGGGTTATAACCTCGTTTAATGTCATCAAAGCCAGAAAAACGCGGTGTAGAATTGAACTCGTGACAAGGTGGGAGGGGGGGGGGAGGGAAGCGGGGAAGGGCAATTAGCCTTTTCGCTGTTTCCCACTGTCGTGTCGATCCATCAAGTAGAGATTTGTGAAACCTTGTAAAGCCAGCCAAAGTCTGTCAAACTATTTGTCAGCTCTAGTAAAAAATAGTTTTGAACTATTGTACAGCAATGACCGTAGGGGAAGCAGCGAAAGCGCAAAATGCTCCCTCCCCTAGGCAAACTGCATTCAACTATCCAAATAATGAAATAATTCATTAAAATAATCGATAATTAATTAAAAATTCCCTTCCTAGTCTTATGGCGAGCAAGGTTTACACATGTACAAAACATGTCGCTCTAGAATTCCTGATAAGAGATGTCCCTCAACCCCATCAGTGGTCCCTTCAGTGGTCCTCCCAAAAGCTGCTTTTTCTTGGGCTGAACCCCAGTGTTCCTAGGAGGCACTGACCCTTAACTTTATCTTTTTTACCCACTACTGTCCCATAAACGATAAATCGTGCGCGCCAAGGCAGTTAAAAACACATAACTGCTTTCTCAGTATCCTTTGGAGAAAATCACTTCTCAACTTCTCCTTGAGAACACCCGCAAAATATTTCGCAATTTACAGTATGCTATTTTTAGATTCCACAAATCGCTGGAAAAACTGAATATTTCAAGGGGTACGAGTCCACAACAATCACCACTATGGGGGCGGAGCCTATGAGCAGAGAGCAGGCAATATCGATCTCACTACACACTCTGCACAGCATGTTGTTGTGTTGCTGTTGGCCAGTACATAAATGCGTTACGGTAAGTCTCTTATCAGTCCTTATCAATCAATAAAGAGAAGGTCTCAATTCCGATGACCACTGTTCAGGTACTTTCCTGTTTCGACACGCTCATTGTAGCGATTTTCACCTACAAATCCTTAAATCTGCTCGCACACACTATTGATGATCCGTGAGTTTTCATTAATTATATCCCTCGAAGTTCTCAATCAATAAAATCAATAACACACTGTGTACGTAATGTCGAGAACCCATCCTTTCAGCCAGCTTAAGCTAGCAAATCCAATTTTCTCACGCCTAGCTGGTACAAAGACCAGAGTATGTGAATAGCCACGAGTGAATAGCCTAAGGCCACAAAAGAACCAAAATAGAAAGAAACCAAGTGTCACCCCGGGGAACAGACCCTTGTTCAAAAAAACCGAGGATATATGGAGCTGTATCAACGAATTTCAAACGAACTCGAAATCTTATACTTCCAAGATAGATTAATATTAATTTATTACGTACACTCCACATCCTTAAGATGGGGAGGGCGTGACTACGAACTTTGTTGGAGTTGTACCCGAAGCGTATGCGAGGTAGATTCATGTGGATTTACTAAGTACACTCCATATCGCGAAGATGGGAGGGGCGTGCTGCGTGAATCATGGCGTGTGATGCGTTTCTCGTGGGGTACTAGCATTTGGGACAACTTTCATTGTCGTTTTCTGAACATAGACATGATCACACTTGTGTAACGGTAATATTTTACCAAAGACGCAGCAGCCCTAAATGACATTCGCGATAAAATAGGCTAATACTCTCAATTGCGCGGACGATCCGTGACAGGGGCGATTTTTGAGGCTGCGCTACTTTCAAAATGGGAAAACGGCAAGAACTCCGCTAGAAGCTGACTAATTAGGCCCATGGACACCCCTTAGGCCCATGCCGACCCTCACCGGCTGCTAGCTACTAGCTAGTAGCCACTATGTTATCTTTCTCCATTTCGGACTGCTTTTTCTGCTGCTTTTCTGTGCTCAACAGATACTTTAGCCACTTTCTTGGTGCCTATTTGAGTCCGTTCCCGCGCGAGGAGCTTTGCGGTCCGCGAACCTGATGCTTAAATGAAGTGGGCCAAACCCTTTCGTAAGAAGCCATGCCATCTATCTCCGTGTGGATGTGGGGTGTGCTATCAGCAACGATTATCGTATTTTCTATCGGGGTATAAGACGCATTTATTTGCAAGCTCGTCGAGACGCATGTGACAATGCGCGCGAAATGTTCCTAGACCTAGCAGCAGCTATTTTTGTCTTTTTTCGCATATTTTGCATAAAAATAAACCAAAACACGCAAAAGAAAAAAGGAAAACATTCGCGGCGTCTGAAACGCACATGCGCCTACGGTACACAGGGATGCGCCTTATACCCAAAAAATAGGAGAGATGTTCATTTATAACGGTAACTATTGATACTGATAGTGTTGTTATCCAGCCAATTTCGTAGCGCATGAATCGCATCCGTTTATCTAAGGTTTTTATTTGTTTTCCCTAGCAAAATAAATAAACAGAACTGTTTGCTTTCGAGCAGCACTGAAAACAGAAAATCTCACTTCACACCTCTCACGATGAAATCTGCAGCTGCAGAGACTGTTATGGGTCCACGCTCATGTGACGTGCACGTGTGAATACGAAACCCAAAAGAGGCCATTGGCTGGCCATTGGAAAATGAAGTTTTCGTACTAGAATTATGCTGAATGACGAATTTCTTCGATGATGGTGATATGCACAAAGTGCATTCCTTTTTATTAAATTTACTGCAGCTTTCATGTCTCAGGATATCTATCAACCGTGAAGCTTTGAAGCTTCTCTCCTTCATCCTTCTTCTCCTTTCTTCTTTATCTGTCCCTCTTCCCTGTTCTCTCTTCCTTTCAAATGTTGGGCGAAAAGATGCAACGAGAGAGTGACTGTGAACCCTCCCACCAAGAGAATATCAAGCTGAGAGATGACCTCTAACAGGTCTCAAGCAAATACTTCTCTTGTTTTGTTTCAAAAGGTGTTCAAAAGATTCCCGAACAGTTCCCTCATCTCAATAAACGACATGTGCGTTGAGTTTAGTGCTTTTTAGTCGACCAATTTTGGTGCTATTTGGCTTGGTGGGGCATTTTGCTGGTTCCCATCGACCACTACCGATGTCTCGTGTGCAGACCTGTGAACTCTGTGCACTAGCACGAGCTTCACTTAGTCTAGGGAAGAGCCCTAAGGAGAGCCCAGGACCTACCAAGGTCAACGCGTGTCAGTAAACAGGAATTAGCAAAAGAAACAGGCGAAAGGAAGGAATGTATCCCTCTCAACTGCAACCTCCAACTTTTTGCGAATAGTTATGAGCAGCGAATTGCTTCTGCTGAAAAAAATGCATTGTGCGTGGTTCGTCGAAATTGCAATTTTATGACTTGGAATTGGATGGCGAACCTCTTACCTCGCGGGATGAGCTAGGATGGCAGACCTATACGACACGACTTATATGAAGCTTGAACGTGACTGGTCTCTCCTGCTCTGTATTCAGCGATATTAGCATAAAGAGCATGCCGGATATTAGTAGCTACTACTTATTAATGC